GGCTTTTTAGCAAAGTTTAGAAGCTTTTCTGCCTGGAAAAAAGTAATTTTTTAGAGAAATTTAGACTTTCTGGCCTAAAAATGCCTTGAAAATGTAGTCATTAAAGAGTAACTGATGAAATGTTGTGAGCACCATGCTTCCAGTTCTTTGGTTTTTTTTTTTTTTTTTCTTTATTTCTTTCATCTTGGGAAAACATTTTAATTAATTTTGGTGTGAACTCACAGCTAGTCCCCCAAGGCAACAGGAGAAAGTGAGTCGCCTGTGAAGATACAGTTGAAGACACTGTCCAGGTGCAGGCCTGAGCTTTGGGCCCCGAAGTGAATCTATTCAGTGTTATTTCCACATAGCACCTTATTTTTTTGTGAACTGCTACTTAATGATAAAATAGCTGCATCTGGATGGAGCTGGAAAATCTTATTTATACCTTAGCAGACATTAATGTATTCATTTATTCGCCAATTAAAAGAGCAAACAAGTTCCAGGGAAGTCGGGCAGGCAGACCTGGGGAGTGCTGAGGACCAACTTGATGCAGGGCAGAGCAGGCAGTGATTGATATTAATAAATCGACGTAAAAATAATTTGAATAGAGTCTGTGCTAGGCCTAAGTGACTTGTGGCGAGGCCCACAGCTGGCATGGGGATGAAATTAATCCCCAGACCAAAGGTGGCTGAAACCAGCAAATGGTCTGTGAGGTGCTGCTGCCTCAGAGCAAGACAGATACCACAGCTGAGGACTCTGGCTGGTCCGGAGGCCTCCAGCTCAGTAGGCTCAGCGCGCAGATAATCAGATTACCAGTTAACCATGATCTGCTCCTGCGTGCTTTTCCAAAAGTGATTTGTTCTTCGAATCCTTGCACCTTGCCTGCACCAGCAGGTCACTCCCACCGCTTCCTGAAGCCCCCAGAACACCTCCAGTCAAGGTATGCACCTAATAAAAGCCAGGAACACTGAGCCTCCCGGTCTTAGTCATTCCCTGGACTCGGCCCTGATGCCCCTTGTAACTAACATCCCAATGCCCCTTGTTTGATTCCTCCTTCTTATCCTGAGGGAGATGAGTGGTCCTAGGCCAGGGCCCTGATGAGGGAGTCAGAAGCCAGGGCCGTGGGAGAATCCAGGAGAGAGGGGAGGCTGCAGGACTGATGAGAAGAGCTAATCCCTGAAGCCAGAAATAAGGTCAGGAGAGGAGAGACCGTGACAGCAGGGTGACGCTAACACTTGGTCACAGGTTCTGCTGGTTGCCAGGATTGTCTCTGTCTTAGAATTTTAGGAATTGAGAAGTAAATTGGTATATATGTTCCCCTTTTCTACGAGGCCATTGAAAGTCATTTTTAACCTTCTTTTTGTTCAGCTACTTGCAGCATTCATATACAATCCTAGAAACATCTTCAGCTAAGAAGGTTACAGAGGATTTCAGAGCACGCATCTGCCCTTTGAAACGGCATGCTAGTGGCTTAGCAGTCTCAATGTTAGAATGTGTTCTTAAAAAATGAGACTCTTGGAGCACGGTGCCATACATCTGTGATCCCAGAACTGGGGAGGCTTAGGCAAGAGCCACCCCAGCTTAGGCACCCTAGTGACTGGGGGAGAAGCTGTCTCAAAATTTAAAAACAAATGAATCAATGAATAAGTTAACTAATTAAAGAGCTTGGGGATATAGTTCAGTGAAAAGGGCCTTATTATTACAACTCAATCCTTATTACTATAAAAGAGAGACAGACAGACAGACATTAGGAGGGACATGGTAAACAGTGAAAGAAATCTCACTTATTTCTGCAGTCAGATGTTAGTAAATCAATATTTTTAAAAATATATAACAACTTCTATGGTGAAATCTTTTCTGAGACTTTAAATTACTGTCTCAAAATTTTAAAATTTTAGCAATTTTTCCATTTAACTTTCTCATTACTTTTTCTTTTCAACCACAACTAGTAGAAATTTCCCTTTAGGAATATATTGTACTTGGTTTGTAAAGAGCATCCCAGGAGCATTGCTAGAATTTGTGAAAGGGTCTGTGGATACTTCTTCTGCCCTCCGAATCTTCTCCTACGTAGAGCATGAGAGCCCACCAGTGCAACTGAAGGAGCCTTGTGCAGCATCCGCAGGGCTCCCTCTTTTTCTGAGGTGCTGGGGATGGACTGGGAGCTCCTGCACAGCGAGCTCCCGCTCTGTCCCTGGCCTACACTCCCCGTTGGGCAGCAGCAACTCTTAGATCTAAGGTTTAGTCACTGAATCTCTTGACACTGGATGTACGGGATTACTAAATGTGCAGTTTAAAGCCTTTCAACTTGGATGCTATATTTTAACTACTCAAGGATGTCATGCTTTTAATCCTTATCATCCCCTGCATTCAAAGCTGCATTATTGTACTTAGTAAGATGGCTTTTGAAAGAGGATTGAAGAATAATATTTCATCTCATTGTGTGCATTCAATACTAGCAGGTCAGACTCTGACGTATTGATCTCAATAATCTCTTCAATATTTACTTGCAATAAATAAATGCATGAATCTTTTTCACTGCTAACTATGAATCATGAAGCAATCCTTTAATTTAAAATAAATTTTGTAGCCAAATCTGATTTCTTTATTATGTAATAAATTATAAAATGCAATTAGAATGCGTGATTGTTCTCCTGGTTTCTACTCTCCCAGTTACTAATCTGTTCAGTAAATAGATAATTTTCATTGTTCATTATAAAACTCATGCATCATACTCAAAGACTATCAAAAATATCAAAATTAACTGTTTTAATGTATGGTTTTCTAAAAACATATAGTTACTTCTGACATGGCTATGTCAGAAATATTAATTATTCTTTCACTCAAATAATACACACAGTTAAACTAGAAAATCAACCAAGGATAGTATAAGATGTGTGATGTTTATGTGTGAGCTGTGAGCTCATATGAAGTACAGCTTTTGGAATGATGTTTTGCGAGTAAGATCATTTTAGAAGTCTAATTTCATGACCGTTCATGCCCATTGCAGTGATGTGGATGCAGCTCTAGATAAAGTGACCACATTGTTCATTGTGGATTTGGGTAACTGCTGTGTGATTTCCAACTCATTTCCCCTGCACAGAGCTCCAGGGAATTTTCCAGATTTTTATACCATACATTTATTTATAAATAGAACTGAATGTTTTTATAAATAGGAAAATTAAAACATGAAATGGAAAAATATGGGAACATTAAACTGCATTTTCCATTCATTTGGGAACAAGGTATACTTGCATAAAAGGGAAATACAGTTATGCAGCCATAAGGCCTTCTAGTTATAAAACTGGGATGCACTCAGCTGACTGCTCCTTAAACATTTGGGATACATTTTCCCAATGGGAGTTGCAGCACAGGATGGGGTAAGAAGGGGCAGCAGCAGCCGCCCAGAGGAGGGGGAGCTAGTGGTCCTGCTCCTCTGCAGCCCTGGCTGAATGGTTCCTCCGCTGACCAGCATGGTATTTGCTGAGGGCCAATCACTGGCGCTTACTGCCATTCAAATGTCCAGGCAGGCTCATTTTGTAGTAACGAGGTTATCCGTGCTCCCTGTCTCTGTGGGGACAGAGGGGAGACTGCATCCCACGTGGTCATTCCCAGTGCTGAGTGGCACTTCCACGTCCCTGGAAGCTTCGCTTTACAGTTGTGTCCAGGAGAGCTGGGCAGTGTCACGGTACTGGCAGTGTCTGGTACTGTCACGACAGATTTAATGGTGGCAAAATCGGTGTGGAAAGCCTCTCACATAACACGTTTTAAGGCAGTGTAGACAATAGTTAACCTGGTGACTGAAGTCCCAGGGCCTGAATAGTAACCTGGAGTTTCAGAGATTATCTTCTTTTCATTAAATTTCTATTTCTGACTCAGATAAACTAGACCTCATCTTGAAAGGAAAAATATCTTCCAGAACCATGCTAATTAAGTAAACCCATTTTGAAATATTAACTACATGTAGTACTGCATGGAATTTTAGCTCTTCAAGAAGGCTTAAGGAATGTTCCTGTGCAATAAAGCATTAGAAAGATAATCGTGCAAATCGGCAAATTCAGCAACAGTTTCCATTTCTGATGACACAGTGGAATGGAATGATGTCTTGCAGGGAAAATACTTAGTTAACAGTCCAGTGGTGTCCAGGGTGATGCATCCAGAGCTGCTCAACCCTTCCGCAGTGCTGATTGCTGTGTGACTCTCAGATGGCAAGGCGTCCACACCAGGGTGACTTGTGGGCAGAGAGCTTTGTCATCCTCCAGACACAGGTTGCATAGTTCTGGCCAAGTCACTAGTCCTGCTGAAAATAAAGTGCTTTGTTTATGAAAAGGATGTCATCTACACTTTTATATGCCAGGAACTGTGCAGGCTGCCTCCATGTGTGTCCATGACATGTATCGAGACATTTTCAGTCCAGGGGACTGAGGAGCTCACTTTGTGGGGTTTGTCTAGTGGCTAGAGCCGGGAAGACAAGGGTGATGATGCATGGGATACTAAGGGGCTGGCAGGAGGTCTGAAGAGACCGTGACTTGTGTGAGATGCTTGGTTTCTAAATCTTCCCGTGGTGTTCAGCTGGCAAAGATGCAGGTGCCAGTGGCTGGACTGCATGATTTCCTGACCCCTGATTAAGGTGCTCACCACATGTTTTGTCCAGTGCAGTCAGTGGAAGGCCCTTGCTTCTGCTTCCTCAACATTTTCAGACAAAAATTTTCTTTCTATATCAGATCGCTGCTACTCATTTTGTCCTCTTTGCATACATCCAGTCTCCATACAGAGCACCATATCTAGAAATATTAAAGAAAACAAAGCATTGTTGTAAATTAAAAGACAGCAGAGATTTCACAAGTTTCATCAGGGCGTCTGCCTTTCAGGAGTGGATCTGAAAATTGATGAGATTATCGTGAATGGTACTGCTCATAAGATTCAGATGTTCTACATATAATTTTCTCATGCTTGATTAGGATTAATATTTGTTAAACAAATAGTATTACATCCATTGTTTTCTACAATTTTTTCCTTTCAAGGTTTTGCAAGGTGGCTTGGGGAAGAAAAGTGAAGAGGCAAAGACTTCGTAAAGAAAATCCAAGTAAATAATTTTTCATTAAAAATTAAAGTGTGTATTTAAAAGGCAGTCATGTATATGCTTCAAAATTTGGGGCATGAGGAAAGTTTTCACCTGTCAGAAATCATGTTCTTTCCGCTAGTTTCCAGATGTTGGCCTCCTCTCTAACAATGTCCCCCTACTCTTCACCGTATTTGTGCTTTTGTCCTGTTGAATGGGGGAAGCCAAATGTTCCTTGAGTTACAGCACCATGAAAATAAGCAGAAGCATTCAATAAGCAGAAACATATCTGAATGAAAATAAACACTGTCCTTAGTTTGTGATTATTTAAGACTTTCAAACAATATAAACAGCTTTTGTTGTTAACAAACAGAAACAAAAAGGTTAGATTTTAAAGACACAATATCTAACGTAAGTAGATTAGTAAAGTAGTGTCTCAGGTGTGTTGTCTACTAATAATAGAACACTCGAATGCCTTGAATAATTTACTCTTAAATCTCTCACCTGTTCAACCAACCATAAAATTGCTCCTTACTTAATATCAAATGACAACTTTGATTTATGATGACATGTGAATTCAACTGAGAGGATAAATACTCCTAGGAATAAATACACTTTGATCTCAATGGGCAAAGTAAAACTTTAAATTAAAAATAACATGAAAAATACTTTTATTTTTGCATATAAATATGCAGAGTGTCCCCTTGTTTGACTAGTAAAGTGTTCTGTGTATGTCTAGGAGGCATGATTGAAAAATATGGTGTGTGCTTAAATAAAAATACATTTATTTAACTAGAAGTTAACGTTGCTATTAATCTCCATCAAAATCCTTCCTCTTGCCTCAAACACACTTATCACATTCTAAGCAGTACTGAATTGATTTCACGGTGGTTGAGGTAGAGTCTCAACAGGACTGGCTTGGGGGATTGGTGGGGCACACTCCGGAGTGGAGTGGAGCGTGTCTGGGCGGGTGGTGGAGGCGTGACCTTGAGTCCTGTCTGGTCCTTACCCTTCCTCTCTGGGCTGCAGCTCTGCTGCCCTGCAGGCAGCTGTGAGCTGAGCAGCTTTGCTCCCTCACACCGTTTTGCCATGATGCTGTGGCATTGGAGCAGCCGACCATGGACTGAACCCTCTAAAACAAACAGAAAAGATGCGCAATACAGTAATTATTGTGACTTTGAGGAACAGCCAGAACTCGCACGGTGCTGGATCTGGTTACTGAGGTGCATGAAGATGCAGTGTCCTGTTTTCAGAGTTTGCCTTTTCACTGAATGGCACTCAGAAGCTAAATTTACTACATATTTAACCATAATTTATAAAGAAACCCACAAAAAAGACTTTCAGAATTGCCTCAAGAATTGGCATGAATGTGGCAGATTCAAGCGCAATGGGTAATTTTACAGTAATGAATTTTACAGTAATGATTTTTTATGCATTTACCATATTTTCTTTCTTTCTTTCTTTTTCTTCTTCTTCTTTTTTTTTTTTTTTTTTTTTTTGTCTTTTTCGTTTTTATCGGTACCAGGGATTGAACTCAGAACTGCCTACTTGCAAGGCAGGCGCTTATACCGCTGAGCTAAAGCCCCAGCCCCCAGCATTTACCATATTTTCTGATTCTCTTGTGTATTTTTCAAGCTTTTTTGGAAAATAATTTCATTTGGGAAAGGACAGTTTGAGTTGCATATGCATGTCTTACTCAGACTTACTGTTTGCCTTTCATTTTTAATAAAACTTTAAAAATATTCTATACAATTTTAATAGCTCGTAAGCATAGTTGGTTTCATAAACATACGTTAGAGGCAGGTCCTGTACAGTGTAATAATACTCCACTGTCACTACTTTGAAATTCTTCACTTTTAAACAAGAGGACCCATGTTTTTGTTTTGCACTGGGCCTTGCAAATCATGTAGCTGTGCTGCTCATCTGTCCACTCTGTGTATGACCGTGTATTGCTGGTACTAGTACAAATACTTATTAACTTAAACCTATGAGTGCACCCCAGGGGAGATGGTTTGCCTGTCACCTAACTGGGACCACTGTCCACTCACAGCTGGACTCTATAAATCATCCTATTGCTTTGTGGCCATGACCGAAGCTGATCAGTCTCCTCCTGTCACCTTCCCAAATGTGACTGTCACAGCTCTTCCACCGATAACCCAAGAACATCTGATTAATTCTCTTCTAGCTTAGTGAAGCCTGTGCAAGCAATTTCAGTTCAATGTAAACAAAATTTAGTGAACAGACACATCACATCACAGGTAGCAATTTGATAAAATAAATAATAAAAACACAATATAATGTAATTTTAAAAAGAATGAGATGTAACTATGAATATGGTCAGAAAAATACACAGTGTCCTTTTTAACAAATTGCAGAAGAATATGTAGGGTATTGATTTTTGTTGTTTTGTTTTTAGAAATATACTTAGATATGAGCAAACTTTGGGAAGATCCATATTTTAACTATGAGCTGGAATGGCTGTAGGGAGTGGCGATATATATATACATATATATTCCGGAAGATTTGTGTTTTGCTCTAATTGAAATAGTTTTACCAAAAATGTTTTCTTTTTAATTAGAGAAAAGTTTAAGATTGCTTTTAGTAACAAAATAAATATCTAATATGCTTTCCTTTATTAAAGATATCCATCTGGATATTTGAAAATATTCGATCATTCTCTAAAAAATTATATTAAATTATAGGTTTAAAATTATAATTGTTAGAGTTAGAAAGTCAACTATGGAATCATCTGTATAAACGTTTTTCTTGGGACCATATCAATGATCCAACTGTTTCAAATTATCTATAGATACTGTTTAGTGTTCAAATATAGTTTATGACCATAAAAGTTCAGTTAATTAACCCATGCAATAATCAAATTCAAAAATGCTGTTCCTGCCCTCCAGAAAACTACATTTAGTGGACCAGACAGACAGTGACAAGGCCAACATATTTCTAATTCTTACTTTGAAATCAATAAGTCATCTATTGAGAATTATTAAAATAGACTAGGTGATGGAACCAATTGCCTGTTTTGCTCAATTCCTGTCCTAAAGGAGACTGTCTTCTAAGTAAGAGCCATTAAGAAAGAAATAAGACAAAGGGAGTATTCTATTGGGATATATTTGGCAAAATTGTTTTAACCCCAAAATGATGAATACAGATGTAACGGTAAAGTTAACGAGTAGTGCTATACTGGACAATTTCAAAGTTCAAAATAAATTAAATACGCCTTTCAAAATACAGCTAGTGGTAAGGTTAACTACCTGTATCAGCATGCACATTTTGTAATGCTATTACCACTTAGACTCCTTTGTTCATTAATTTAGAGTATCCTAATTTCCATTAGCAGGGCTTCTTTGCAGTGTAGTTCTCCCAAAACCATTATGACTATTGAAAATCACTGTTTGACACCACTCTCCAAACTCAAGTATATATGACAACAGTTGTCCTCAGGGGTGAGGAAATTCTTTTACTTATGCTCAGAAAATGTGTTGTTTCAGATGCCCTGTAATTTCCTTTGTTTATTGATAACCCTCTAAGATAATTTCATGAAATGAGTGAATCATTAGAAGAAACTTGAAATTAATGTAAAAAAGGCTAAATGTATTTTAAAACAGTTTATCATGAAATCAACATTGAAGTTATGATGCTCCTGTTGGAAAATACAGGAAACTTTATATGACAAGACAAGGATATTGCTATTATCACTAAGCATAAAGGTAGAACCTGGTGAGTTTGTCACAGTTTTACAGGCATATAAAATTAAAATAAGTTCCTAAATCTGGTTTCACTTCTAATGTCAAATCTTATATATTTGAATAATTCAAAATCATTTTGTGCACACACATACACACTCGCACTTGTAAACATACACAGTCCACGTCACTACTGAATAAAAAATGAATTTGAGTCATTTCCAAACTTGCAAGCTATTTTCACATATGATATACTTGTTATAAGGTAAATTCTTTCCAAAATTGCTATGTTAAAGTACAAATACTCAGTACTTCAGGAATATAGGACTCTAAAAGGGCTTTTTGAGGTAAAGGAGGTCATATGTGTGATCTCTAATCCAAGTGATTGGTGTTCTTATAAAAAGAGATGAGAGCCAGGTTTGAGGGCACCTGCCTGTGGTCCCAGCCCTAAGGAAGGCTGAGGGTAGGCGACCACAAGCGTAAATCCTGTGTGGGCAAGTTAGTGAGACCTTGACTCTAAAATAGTTTTAAAATGTTTTGAAAATGACTTGGGTTGTAGATCAGAGGAAAAGTATCTCCTGGGTTTGATCCTCAGTAGAGGCCAAAAGAGTTTACAAACCAGTTATACTGTATCAGTCAGCATTTTACCAGAAAAACAGATACAACACAAGATACACAGGTGTGTAACGAATTACAAGATCAGCTTAGGATGGTCACCTGCAGACTCCAGTGAGGAAGCCTGCAGAGAGTGTCGCACACTGGAGACCACAGGATTGAGTCCAAGATCTGGAGCTCACTGGGGTCCGTGCAGTCCACGACAGGAGGCCAGTAGGTCTGTGATGGAAGGCTGAAGAGTCTGCCCCAGAAGCTGAAGAGTCTGTGTTGGAAGTCAGGAGACAACGTTCAAGTGAAGGTGAAAACCGGAGCTTTTCTGAAGAACAGAAGCAGATCCACGCTCCCTCATTTCCCTGTATACCCTGCAGGTGATGAACTGTCCTAGGGCAGGTCCTCTACACCCTCCCGCGTGGAATTGCTGAGCTGACTTTGTTAAGTTTCTAAATTTCTCAAAGTAGACACAATCAATCAACTGTTACCATGTATTCTTTTTTGTTTGTTTGTTTTTGTTTTTGTTTTGTTGAGACAGGGTCTCACTATGTAGTTCAAAAATGCCTGGACTTACTATGTTATTCAGATGGGCCTTGAACTCAAGGTGATCTTCCTGCTTCAGTCTCCCAAGTGCTGGGATTATAGGCAGCAAACACCACCGGCTAGATGATGTATTTATAATGTATAACATTTTGAAATGAGAAAGAAGATTATACCATCTTGTAAAAAGTGAATTTTACATGTAAGTGAAGTAGTTGATTTGTGATTTCATTTCACAAATGGCTTCTTTAAGAAATGGAGAGTGATGTCTGTTGGAAGCTACTACTATTGGATAGACGGATGTTTAGAAGATGCAAAACTTTGAAAGTCTAAACTTTTCACTGGTGAGAACATATATTTCTCAATTCTAAACTTTTCATGGCTGTGAACATGACGTATCAAGTTGAAAGGTGGAGATGTGATGCTAATTGTATGCTCTGTTGTTATTTCAGTGGGAGTAGTGAAGTCTGAGTTACCTCACCTTTGAGTATTTCTAGGTGGTGTCTACCTATGAGAAGCTTTGGGAGCTTACAGCAAATCTTTCCAAGTCTTAACTTTGTTTAATCACAATAAATCTTGTCGTGGGATCTCCAATGGTGAGTACTCCAATAACTTCTTTTGGCTAAATTAGAAAAGAATAAGAAACTAACATGAATTTTATGGCTTATAGGGACTCCAGAAATATACTAAGGCTTATTTTTATGTCTGATTAGGAAACTCAGGCCCTCAGAGTTTTGGGTTGTTTAGATAAAATCATTGAATTAGATGTGAGAAGAACTAATTAGGTATCATGTGATGATAGGCAGAAACACTTTCTAAGACAATGTAGTAGACACTTTTGTTACTTTTTTGTCTATACAAGATCTGAACTTTAGGAAAGCCCTGCAGCTGCACTTGCATTGCAGGAAGAACTGTGTGAATGTCTGTGACTTCTGGCCGCTGGGGAATCCACAG